TACCAAGCAAGCGTACTCGACATTGAGAAACACCCCCTGTGTGTCTTCTTCTGCTGTTCCCTTTAGTGTTTACTTCCCGTCTGTCTTCTTCTACTGTTCCCTTTAGTGTTTACTTCCTGTCTCCCTTCTTCTGCTGTTCCCTTTAGTGTTTACTTCCTGTCTGTCTTCTTCTGCTGTTCCCTTTAGTGTTTACTTCCTGTCTCTCTTCTGCTGTTCCCTTTAGTGTTTACTTCCTGTCTGTCTTCTTCTGCTGTTCCCTTTAGTGTTTACCTCCTGTCTGTCTTCTGCTGCTGTTCCCTTTAGTGTTTACTTCCTGTCTGTCTTCTTCTGCTGTTCCCTTTAGTGTTTACTTCCTGTCTGTCTTCTTCTGCTGCTGTTTCCTTTAGTGTTTACTTCCTCTCTCTTCTGCTGTTCCCTTTAGTGTTTACTTCCTGTCTTCTTCTGCTGTTCCCTTTAGTGTTTACTTCCTGTCTGTCTTCTTATGCTGTTTACTTCCTGTCTGTTTTCTTCTGCTGTTTACTTCCTGTCTGTCGACCAATCAGGATCAAGTATTTGACTAAGCCGTGTAATAACAAAAGTTAACCTTCATAAAAACACAAACCTCTTAAGTCTCAAACTTTTATTACATATTGACAAAAAAACATTTGACCTTTGTTTGTGTGTTAGTGAAAAAGTTTCACAACAATTTGACCCCAAATGTAAACCCAGCAAGCCCTAAAAGTGTTTCTCTAACAACAATTAAAAAAAAATCCATGATTTTGGAAAAACATGGTGGTCAGTGTGAGAAGAAGAAAGAGCCAGTCTGTGTTCAGCAGTCTGACAGGTAAGATGTAACATCAACACAATAAATACAAACTATAAATCGTACTTGAATTCAGCGTTTAAGGTTCAAGTGAATTCAGGAAAGAAAATGTACATCAAACTGTGATAAAAAACATCTCATATTGCTGTTTGCTCCTTTGAAAAGTCTCTACAGACTAACATCAATGTTTCTACAACAATAATCCAAACGATGGGAATGAAAAAGGAAAAATGTCCACGATTCAGTCGCAGAAATGTCTTTAAAAAACAACTTGATAAAAACGTCAGTTTCTAAAAAACTTTAAAGTGGTTCGACGTGTCCTTTAAGACCAGAGAGATTCTTGCATACCAATAAAAAAAGGAATAAAAAGTCCAGACGAAAAACAAAATGGCTTCAGATCCTTCATCTGTGACGACGAGGAGGTAAGGAGAAGAGGAAGAGCAGAGAGAAAGACCATTAGATGAAGGAGTATTTGGACAAGATGGAAGAGGAGGAGAGGAAATTGTAAAGTGAGGAAGAATCGATGGAGAAGTTGTTCTGTTATGTTTTCAGTCGATTTCCAGCACTGTATGTTGCATGTTTTTATTTGATTGTATTTACTTGTTTAAAATGAAATGTGTCTTTCGGTTGACTTACAAAATCTGTCCAGGGACTACAGATGGAAAATAGACTCTTGGCTAACATTTGATTAATGTGCACTGTCCCTGTTAAAGAAATGAATAAATAAAGAAGAGGCAAAGAAATGAGAGAAATAATAATATAAGGAATACAAGTTGAGCGAAAAGCTAAATGGCTTCAGATCATTCATCTGTGAGGATGAGGAGGAAGAGGAAGTAGGGGGTAAAGGAGGAGGAAGACTAAGGGAAGAGAAGTAGGAAACAGAAGGTGCTGGTGGGTGCTTCTCACTTTGGTTAAATGGATTCCTTGCGTCCCTCACTTGCGTCGTTTCCCTGTGACTAGTCCCTCCCACCAGGGAAGCGTGGAGAGATGCAAGGAAACCACGAGAAGCAGGGAAATGAGTTTGAAGAGCAATGGGACGTCCTTTCCTCCGGAGCGTCACGTGAAGCGACGTCCGTTTGTGATGACGCCGCACAGCTGATCGTCTGACAGCAGCCAGCTCAGTGCATGCGCTGCATCGTCCAATCAGTGAGCGATACACAGTAAGGGGGCGGGACGAGTGTCTGAGGATTTCACCGGAGGACGGTCTGGTAGTTCCTCCGTTATCACTCCTCGGTCCTCCGGCACAAATAATGCCACTGGGACGGTACTCAAGATGGCGCAGACAAATCAACTTCCGGTGATACCGAGCCCGAGGAGCGAGGAAATGAAAAATAACCGAGAGGAAGCAGAAAATAGGGAAAGAAAGATGGAAGGAAAAGGGGAACAAGTATTAGGAAGAAGAGGTAGAGAAGAAGAGTGTGAAGATGATGAAGAGTAGTGTTCAGTTGTTGATCCTCCTGTTCACGGCCTGCAGCAGCAGAAGAGAATATTCCTCCAGCAGAGCGGCCATCTTCTCCCCCCCGACGCCCCCCTCTACAGCTGGGGCGGCGAGCGGCAGACAGTCAAGCTCCGCCCTCATGGTCTGGAAGGCTTCTGATAGGACGACGGCCATCTGCTGCTGGTGGGGGGCGGGGCCATCGCAGGGGGAGCCTCTCACCTGGAAGAGAGAGAGAGAGAGAGAGAGAGAGAGAGAGAGAGAGAGAGGTGAGCATCAAGAGTGAACATAATAATATTTGCAAAACTAAAATCGAGTAGTCATCGAAAAAAAAATGTGGAGTTGCAGGTCGTTGAAGAATGTTGATTTAATTTAGATAAAACTAATTTAACCCAATTAATAACTTTATTAGAATCCTTTTCTTTGAGGATTATTCTTTCCTTTATTGATTTTCTTTTTTAGGGTAATTACATCATAAAATAGTAAAGACAGTCAAAGCTTTATTTTCCATCGGGCAAATCTTATAGAGCAAACATGGTGACACTAACTTGAGTTTGAAAACAGCCTTCCCTCAGCTGAAAGTAAACTTTGACTCTGAAAAACAGCTTGAATGACAGACTCACCTTCCTGTACAGGTGTGTGGCTCTCTTGAAGCAGCTCTGCAGCTCATTGGTCAGAGCCCTGCAGGTCTCCACACTGATTGGCTGATCTGAAAACAGGGAAGTAGATGCGCTTGAAGGTTAAATATGTATAGAGGGAGTGAAAAAGAAAAGTGAAATGCAGTGGAAGAAAAAGTGAACACGTCTCACCCGTCCGTACAGAACGAGAGGAAGAGTGATGAAGAGGAGGATGAAGGTGAGGGGTGGAGCTCAGACGTAGGATGAAAGGAGGAGGATGATGAGGAGGAAGATGATGAGGAGGATGAAGGTGAGGAGTTAAAGGAGGAAGAGGATGAGGAGTTAAAGGAGGAAGATGACGAGAGTCCAAACCTTCGTCATCTCTCGGCTCCACGCTGCTACTTCCTGGAGTCTGAAGCTCCGCCTCCTGCTGTGTCGAAGGGAGAGGAGTCAGCGGGGAGACGGAGACGGGAGGAGGCCGCGACGAGGAAGACGAGGAGGAAGAAGACAAGGAGGAAGATAAGATGGCCAGCGAAGGCTTGTCCGGTAAGGGTCTGCTGCCTCCTGGGACTCGGGCCTGGAGACCCCGAGAGGGAGGAGGGGCTCCTGTGTTAGTCAGAGAGAAAGAGAGTATACCAACTTTAAGGAGTGCGTTGAAAACCTACATTTTTCTCTTTCAATATTTGTATACATACTAGGGATGGGAATTTGAAAGCAAATGTATATTCGAATATTCAACCCCCAAAAAAAAAACGGTTAACCGAAATGTACATATCCTATAAAAAAAAAAATAAAAAAATGTGGGAAATCTTTTTACAAAAATAAATAAATAATTAATTAATTTTGAAAAATAAATAACTACAAATAAGTATAGAAACCAAGTCGAATTTGTCAAATGTATTGAACTGGTTATCACAGTTTGAACAGTTGACAGCTATAGGCCTACAGCTTTGAGAGGGATCATACACGAACAACATAACGGGTTAGGGTAACGTAACCCGTGACAACAGAGATCAACAACCTGTAACAGGGCCTATGCACAGAATGCAGCTATTCAATACTCATTCTTCTTTAAGAATATGAGCATGTCTCCTCAGGGGAGAGGCTGGTGCGGAGACGATTCACAATCAGGCCAGCTGTAGAGAAGACCCTCTCAGCTGGAATGTGGGCATAAGATGAGGTTTGAGTCTGCGTGATCTGCGTGTAGGGAGGGGCAGCAGCCATAGCATTAGCTAGAACTAGCTAGATCTGATGGATTTGGACATAAACGCGAGTGAAGTATAACCGGACGAGAGAGAGAGAGAGATCAGCACCTGCAGCTCTGCTCGCTGTGAGGGACCGGTGAGCGGAGCAACACACACCTTTAGACCTAACACACTTAGCTATGGCACTGTCGTATACATTGAATTATTCCATTTGATAATATGTAATCAACTTAGGCACCCCTCCCAAAAAAAAAAATATATATTCATAACTCATATTCGAATACCTGAATAATTTTGAATATTCGATTAATCGTTCCCATCCCTAATACATACAACACAAAAAAACATTAGGGACAACAGAACCAAACATAACAGAACCCACAAAACAATAACATCAAACAACGACACAAACAGCAACAGTAGCAACCTAGCACTCATGTGTGAGTTTATCATGTTATATTTAAGCCCACAGTTAGAACCCTTGACCATTCTTCCTTCATGTTCGGTGCAATTGGACACTAGTCTCTAACAAACTCATCCAGAGTTCCTCGCCGCTGTGTGACAGCCGCTCCAATGACAGATCAGTTTTTGAAACCATAACAAAAGATTAGGCGGATCTTCATCCAACCATTTCTGGAGGATTGTGAGTCGTGCTGCATACAGAGCAATACCAATAATATGCCTATGTCTACGTTCGTAATTTAAATCTGATCCGAGGACAAAGTTATATGGGTTAAAAGGTATATCTATGCCAAACACTTTTCTGATCTCAGTTTGTACTGACTCCCAGAAATATAAAATTTTAGGGCAGGACCACATGAGATTACTTTAATCCTTTATGTTTGATTAAAATATCCTTTAAGCTTCTCCTAACAATATGAAAAGGAAATGACCCTGATGTGGGCAACTTGTACTGTCAAATATTTCATATGAAGGTTTTCAATTGTACGATGATCCTCAATCATTACTGAATATCGACAGTTTTCCTTCCGGCATTTCGTCCTTTGAAAGTAATTCCAAGCACACGCACAAGAACACGGTCACAGGCGAAACCGGTCATTATACCATCCACCATTAGCCGTCTTCATATTGCCATGGCGACAGCAATGGGGTCAATCGTAGCCATTGTGCAGCAATGAGCCGCCATCAGAACATCTAATTCAAACCACCATCTCTGTGCAGGCGGAGAACACAGAAAAGAAACATTGACCCGCACTGACTGGCAGATCAATCACACAATGGAACAAAAGACTGAGCTCCTCGTCGAGAAGTCCTCGGCTCTGTTGCTACGGTCACAAAAAAAAGTGCTGTAGCGTACAATCCTTCGCAGAAATAAACCAGCACACATATCACCCTCCTCCTCGCCTTCCCCTCTCGAGCCAATCAGCCATACCCTTCCCATAATGCCTTGCCATCTGTCCCAGGTGTTGTGGGTTTCAGAGCATGACTGTGAAAAGTGTTTTGTGTACCCTAAAGCATTCTGCTGTCTGAACACTTTGCACAACTTTGATCCACTCCCACGATTTTGACTTGGGAGACATAAGCAGGCTTAAGTCAGCTTTAAAAGACAGAATCCATCGAGTCACTCTGCAGAGATCAAGCAGTGACAGGGGAGATTTCACAGCGGTCTCGTCCTATTGATTCATGACGGTCGGAGCATAACACATGTCCCGCCGATTTATTTTATCTTCTGTGATCCCTTCATTACCTACTCACTTACTGTTTGGTAGCGTGTGTGTGTGTGTGTGTGTGTGTGTGTGTGTGTGTGTGTGTGTGTGTGTGTGTGTGTGTGTGTGTGTGTGTGTGTGTGTGTGTGTGTGTGTGTGTGTGTGTGTGTGTGTGTGTGAAGGGTCACCCCTGTGTGATTGAGTGGTGGGATGGAGCCAGTGGAATCCATATCAGTAGTACTCTGTTGCCTGGATACTACGCTGTTGTCACCCTGCATACAGGGTTATTTTAAGCTATTTTAAGCCGTTAAGAAAGATCATGTTTGTCTGTTATTTACAGTATGTGTGTTTCTGCTTCTTCCAAATATTTTCTAACTATTTTAGTATCAAATGTCCAGCCCTTTCTAGTATCTGGTCTAATGCAGTTTTATTAGATATGTTTTATAAATATGCCATATGCAGGGTCACTTTCCTAGTACTTGATCATCTTTAATATTTCCCCACTTCTTATCTTTTAACATCTGTCCTGCTATCTTACCGCTCAGCATCCGCTAATAAAAGTTCTCCTCGTTTTTATTTTCCAAAGCCAAGAACAGGAAAACAAATTTGATAGCCCATTAAACATACCATAAACAATATTCAGGAAATGGTTTCCTGAAAGTGTTGTTATCTACTTCCATTTGCCTCGTGCCCAGGTCTCTGTGTATTGCCTCCGGCCAGAAAGGGTGCTTATGACAGGCAGATTCCATTATATTATTTCCTTCCAGGATTCCTTCAGAGGACCATTTTTACCTGGGCCAGTACCAGCCACACTGTCAGGTTGGCTCTGATTTATAGGAGGGCATCTTCAGATAGGTACATTGGAAAAGAGGATATTCAATGCACAGTGAGACTGAAACTGTGAAGAATGCAAGCAAGGCATGGAGAAAAGATGCAAGATAAGCAAAGATAAGAAATGTAATAGTCCAGCCACAATGATAACATTGTGCTGAACATTTTTAGCTGGAAGCATTAATGAGATTCAAGAATTAATTTTAGATTGTCTTGCTCACAGGCCGGAACATTATGTACATAATGCAGATTAACAAATAAATACCCACACAAAGACTTTCGGAAAGACACAAGATAATCACAAAAGTGAGAAGAGATAAGGAAGTGAATTGCTTTAGTGGCAAATAGCTTTCTTTCCAAACTGTTGGCTCAGATTTTAGAGCAAGGTGCTGTCCATGGTTCTGAAGCCTATACTCACGCTCCATTTGAAGACAGTTGTCTATTCTCCTCAGGACACACTGGCCTTATTCAGGGCCATGTTAAACTGCTCCCTGTGTTCCCATGCCTGTCATCAGTTTCATAGCTCCTACTGAATCAGTCAGCTCCAAGGTCTAAAATTATTCACTCGTATGCAACAGTGATATAGAGCCATTAGAGACACCATGAAAGGGGCTATTCGTCTCTATTCCCATTTTTATACATAATTCTTTATGGTTGTCTAATGTATTTACATGTACTGTATAGCTGTCATATGTGGAGGTGAAACAACTCCCATTTTTTATATCTCTTAATGACCTGGTGTCAAATAGGCAGCGTGAATTGCCTGGAGAGCAGCTGGTGTGCATTTTAATAAGGCCAGGCAATCATCTTTCAGGGGCTGACTGCCTGTCATTCTTCTTTTGACAGGCTCTGTGTCACTGTAGATGAGCCATATTTACATTTACTCAATGTGCATACAATGCCTGTATGAACATGAACAAACAAACATGGAGGATGTACAAAACACATTTTGTGTAGGCCCACGATGGCTTTTACAGCATTTGCCAGATTAGTGGTGAAAAAACAAATACAGCTACATCATGTGTTCGTTTTTTGTAATTGCTGTAATTCATGTGGGTAACGTGTGCCAGTCTGCTGCGGGTGGCATTACTTTATTTACTCTGTGGAAACACTTCCGCTGCCAGCTTGAGAGGGATCTGATTGGTCCACCGCCAGCAGCAAAGGAGTACAATACAGAGTCAGATTGTAAATCAGAGCTCAAGATCAATGTGTTCCCTAATCGCCTTTTATTTCCTGTCTTAACATAAGCCTATAGCTCATTGGCTGCTCTATATCAGTCTCTATGATGCTAGAGTGTCTCCACAATGACATTACTGAGTAACACCACCTGTAATTGGTGCTTGGAGGATGTGAAGATGGCTGTGAGTGTGTTTTCTGCAATGATGCACGGGCTGATTATTGGTTAATGTGAAAAGGGTGATTATTAACTGTCAGAGCTGGAAAATCAGACCTGTACGTGTCAGCGTGCTTAATGGACTGTCCCGCTCGTTATACTTTATCACCGAGGCTACAGGGGAGGTTCTGATGGATACGCTTATTGGAAGCAGTTCTTCACAACTTCTGTTTTGTTCCAAAAAATATTTAATTCATCATTCAACTCATAATACAATCTGCACACTGTATAAGATTAACCTGCACATAATTGATGATACTTATGGATCCCTCTCGGTAGAATACAAACTAATCATTCATCACTTTATTCATCTTGGCCGTTATTTGCAGAACTGTTGCTAATAAAGCACTCACGATTCAGCGTTCTCTCCTCTTCTTATAGGACTGTCTGTGCTGCAGAAGGTTCTGGACACAGCAGCGGAGAGGAACTGGCTCGTGACCTCGGTCAATGTGGAGACCATGACAGAGGCCTCCTTTTTGAAAGTTTTCCAGGATTTGGACAAGAGGAAGGAGGGCCAGATTATCATCGATTGTGAAACAGAGAGGCTCACTGGCATCCTCAAAGAGGTAAAAAGCTTGTTTCTGTTTTGCCATCAGAGCGGATTATGTAATTGTATGCAATGCGTAATGCAATTCTAGCTGAAATGCTGCAACCTCATAAAATAATAAAATCATACTCCATGCAAGCATTAGACACAAATAGACATTTTAAACTGTCAGTTAATTGTCTTTTTTGCACACATATCAAGCCTCTTATAAACTGAGTAATGACCTTGAATGTTGAATGGCAACAACTTTTTATGCACATTTAAAATATACACTTCAGAGGGTTGCATGTTTCAATCAGATGAACAAAGGAGGGAGGCAGAAAGGGAAAGAAGGGTATATAAATGGAAAGTGGGGTTAGGTTGGTGGTCTGCCGTGGTCTTTAGTCTCCTGGAGCTTCAAGGACAGGATAAATAAATAACATAGCTTTGGCATTTAGAGTCGGCAGTTCCTCTGTGATAGGATCATCACTTACTCAACTCAGCGTGGTTGAAAGGAAATGGATCTTGGCATCACAACTGACTATTCGCTAAACCTCGCCCTCAATCAAAGATTACCCAATCACAGTTTAGCAACCGTAACTGTGCATAGCAGGTGTGTCAGGCTTTAGAGGATCCTGCACATTGAAGCAATGTGGCTCTCATAACAATAATAATCAGCATGTAAATATTTGGGATGACATTGTATTTTTGCAGCCTTTCCAAAACCAAAAGTTATCATTTATGAATTGATTAAACAATGTCTGTCAGCTCTGATGTGTGCTGAAATCGGTAGCATGTCTGGCAACCAGCTTAGTTCCCATGATACTACCTTCGTAATCATGTTTTCTTAGAAGGCAAATCCATATCTCCATTGTCTAATAGTCTATACAAATCCACAATGTGTGGAAGCGGGCCTGGAAACTATTAAAGTTAAGAGCAAAGTGAGCAATCCCACCCAGACTTATATATACATATATAGTAGTTAGCATACAGTGCTTAACTGTACTGAAGTCGTCAACCTAAAATAATATTGTTCATGTGAAATTAGAACCTGTTGTTTGAAAATACAACAAATATGCTAGCTACAAAGCCAAATGGGGCACAACAAAATAACAGTTTTCATACTGTATGGTGAGGCTGACTTCTTTTGCCAGAGATAGGCTACGTAGCTTTAGCCTTAGTCTTTATGCACAATATCTTGCATGCAGTCAACCAGCTAACCAACCTCTCTTAGGTTCAGTTGTTGGAACGAGTCAACTGAAGTATTAAAAGTCAACCTTACACCTTAATAAGCTAGCTCAAAAAATGTAAACTACTGGGGACACTTGACTTTCCAGCTGTATGGGAAGCCTGTATTTATCCTCCTTCTATCTGAAATCAGCTGTTTCAGAAATATTCGACGTAAATGTTCCATTGGGATTATAGATCTTTTCCTGGCATGCTATGGCTGGAAACGCACAGCTGTAATTAATAAAGCATACATGTTGGGGCTTGTTTCAGGCCTCTTTTGCATGTTGGCTCACTGCCTTTGCTTACTGGGACAATCAATTATCAAGAAACAGTGTGCTTCTCCTGCTTTCACAGGTTCAACATGTCTGCTGCTGTGTACAAACACGCAATTGTATCCCCAGAAATATCTTCACATTTGTCATATTCGTATTGTTTTGCTGGTTGGTGTCACTTGTATAATATACGACAAGTAAAGAAACACATACTCTTTATTGATGCTCATAGCACATACACAAACACACACACAGTCCCCATCTGTATGTGTAGGCTGTGTGTGAATGTTATTGATGGCCCGGTGTCTACATTTAAGGTTATTGCATCAGTTCTCACCAGTTTACAGGTGCTGAGCCTGAGAAGCTCTCCATTCAGACGTCCACCATCAATCACCCAAATCTGCTCTCTGCCTCCACACTGCCCTGCCTGTGCATCCTTCTATTGAGGAACACACACACAGCACGTCTGCCTCTTGTCCTGCCCTTTATACTCCCATCTGTGTTCATCTCATTCATCTCATACAGTATACAGATTCTCCTACGATAATGTCACTGACAGTTTCCTCAGGGTGGCTCCTCACATAAACGGAATGTTGATGTAGCCTCCTTAGAGAACATTCATCGTGACAGAAGAGCTACCTCAAAAACGTTTAGTGTGTTTTCCAACACAGAGAAGAAGAACAAATTGACCCATTCTCTTGGGGCTGAACTCTGAATGACTCTTCAAATCTGGATGTTTAATTAAAAAGCTCCTTCCTTCCAAAACATTTCTGTTTGACGGTCCACTGTGGCAGTAATGTGTGTTTTCCCCCGGTGTCAAGTGTATTGGTGTCACGGCGGGTGTGTGGCTCTTCCCCTTCCCTTCAGTTTTCTTTCCCTGCCCGGGGCTCGGCCGCAGGGCCCATCTTGTGCTGGGGTCACCATTAATAACAAATGCCACCTTCTGTCGTGACCTACAGCATCATTAGACTGACACATAACACACAAACAAATGAGTACACTTCCCCCAAGTATAGGCGAGGGAAAATGCTCACAGAGAAGGAGAGGAGTGAAACATGTGTGAGGTCAAGCATGATGCCTGAACAGAGACGGTGGAATGAGTTCCTTATCCACTGTCCCAAGGCTATTAGTTGGAAGGTGCATGGCTTTGAATAAGTGCTGCTCACTCTGCCTTGTTTTCTGTGGCTGCCCTGTATGCTCTGATTACACATAAACACACACCAGCATGTGTCTCACAGTACAGCCAGCTCTTTATTTAGGCAAAGGCCAGCCACACAGTTGCACCAGCATATTTCTTTTTTTCAAATCCCATGCCACATGTTTGTACCGGTTTTGTGTACTAAAAATCCCTTCAGGCAATAAAGTACAAACCTATCACTGTGAACTTCAAAGTGCCCTGACCTCCAGAGCTGAACTGAGACGCCTGCAATCAGAGAATGACAGCAGCATGGGCAGAGGAGAGATGTAGGCACAGTTCAGCTATGACAGACTTAAACATTTATAGATATTATTGTATGGTGGAGTTCCAGGACACTTGAATGTTGTACGTTATTTAGATATTAGATCCAAGATTAAATGAGAGCATTCAGGGGAAAATATTCAAAACAGATGGAGGAGGAGGGAAGCTAATATGGTACATAATAGAGCATTATACTTCAAATGAATGACTGTTTTACGTCACGTATAGCCTAGAGGATGTGAAGTGTAATGTGCACTTTAAATTCATTAAAGGGTTGAATATTCATGAATTTATTCATTGCTTTAAACTCCTTTTTATTAAAGTCATTTGAACTGTATTTTCTTGCTTTTCAAATTGTCAGCGCAGTTTTGTTTTGCTGTGCAAATCGCCTTTATTTGTGATCACACATAATACATATGGGAGGCTGTGGCTCAGTGGGTAGTGTGCTGGACTTGGAATCAGGGGATAGCAAGTTTGAGTCCCACTGCAGTCAGCATGTCGTTGTGTCCCTGAGATACTTCACCTCATGTTGCTCCTGTGGGGATTGTCCACAGTATTGAGTATGTAAGTCGCTTTGGATAAAAGCGTCTAACAAGTAACATGTAATATGCTGTAATATTTTAAATGGCAAAATGGCTTCCTCTTCTTTGCCTCCCATTTGCTCTATTGCCGGGTAATGTTTCCACAGTGAACATTTCTTAAGTTGTTCTGCTACCTGGGGGTTTCTAAAGTAAGCTATTTGTCAAGTCGCCTCTTAGCTGAATGCTTTTTGCTAAGAAATGATGGAGTGCATGTCTAGGGCTTTTATTGTGAAAGGTAAGAACAGAAGGAGTCTAGTGCGCGGCTACAGTGGGAGCAATAAAGAGTTTGTCCTTATGGATCAAACTACAAAGCCTCAGTGTTATTATTTTATTACCTTCATTTGTATAGTTACTGAAGAGAGGAACGAGGGGGGAATTAAGAGCAGAGAGGAGGAAACAAGGGACGATACAAGAGAAGGGAATGGGGAGAGAGACAAGAAGAGGGGAGAGGAAAAGAGGAATGGAAGAGTTAAGAGAAGAGTTGAAAGGAAGGAGGAGGAGGGGAAAGGGCATTACTTTTGTTTCACTGTTGTTTTATATAACAAACTTCAGAACCCTTAAGCTACCTCTATGACTTTTATTATGGAGTATGTTGTGTGAACCTTTTGACTCATAGATTGAAGCCGATCTTTAATAAATTGCTCACCTTTTATTTTATCCAAGGTGAAGCGTTTTAGTCTCTTTTCCATGATGTATTGTGCACTTATACTTTCTGTCCGTCCTTGACAAAGTTAAAAACTGCACTCAAACAGGTATTCTTTTGAGACACTGTCAAAACCCCCTCTCTCAGTTATACACATATAATGTACCAACAGTGTTTTTGTTGTGTGTGTGACTGGCATTTTATTCTCTGTATCTCCTCTGACCTTGCCTTTCAGATCGTCGAACAAGGCAAGAATGCAAAGAGCTACCACTACATCCTGGCTAACCTGGTAAGAAATCATCATTATACCATCACATTTCTTTTCTAAATGTTTGAAAATGTTCCACTTACTTGTCTACCTTCTTTCATGCCTCAATGAATAAACTTGCATTGCTATTAAATGTGGCCTTTAAAAGTTCTTTATCACTGCTTTAATATACTTGCATATGCCCAATAATTTAGCCTAAAACGATGTGGTTTTATGTCGTTTTTCTTATCCCATTTTCCTCTTCAGCTACTTCATATATTCTTTTCATTGGGCCGTCAATCCTTGCAGACATAACTGCAGCAGAGTAGACTAGCGTAAAGCACAAAGGTGTGACAGTCAGGAATCTATGCATCTTCCTCACACTGACAGACAAAGGTCAGGCAGTGAATGTATGCAAGCTTATATCCATTAGCTCTTTTTGTCTGCTACCATTTTCTCAGGGCAAATGGTGCGTAGACCCAGTCAGCACTGCTCAGGCTCACTAAATGCAACCAAATGAAGTGAAAATTGACATCACCCGGAGCTGTAGAATGATCAGCATTAATATGCAGCTGCTGTCTTGAACAATTTCTCACTGCGGGAATTTTAGATTGGCTCAATCTCTCTTGTCTGGCCAGTTTGCCAGATTTAATTTTGAGCGATAAGGCTCTGACGGTGATAACAGCTGATACGCAAAGTGGCCACAGTCTTTTCTAATGGGCCCATTAAAATGTTTGTCCTTACGCTTTTCGGGAATTCTTTCTAATATACTTCCTTGTGTCTGCAGCTGCGTTTCTCTGAAAAGCAAAGAATGATAGAGCAATACAGAAAGGAAAATGCTGATAAAATATTTGTCAGAAATACCCCTACGCAATATCCAGTGTTGGCAAAAGCTAGTTTCTATAGTAACCTCTTCAGCTCGCTACACTGCATTAGCTCATACATGGAGCAGAAAAAAGACACTAGTCTGTCTGCTCAGCTGAGAAAATATCGACGTGTGGCAACAAGTAGATTAGGTTTGGTGAGTAGATGGGGGGGGGGCGGGGACTGCCCCTCGTCATTGCTCGCGTTTGTCTCCTGTAACCTGAGACCATTTCAAAAACCAAAAGGGCATGAAAATAAATGTGCTTTGTGCTTCAGTCAACCACTTCTCCTAGACTTGGTGTGTTTGTGTGGATGTGAAGGTCAGAGAAAGTAAACAAGCTAGAGTTTGAGAGAGACATATGGCCAAGAGAGAGGCGAAGCTCTAAGTGACATGAAAAATGAGAACAAGGTAGAAAAAGAAACAATGATAAGTTATGTTTTGTCAGAAAGAAGCCTGGTGAGCAGGAGGAACACCTGAGAGACACCTTCTCCTTTCATCAGTCAGAAACGTTGCTGTAAAATCACCCACAAATCTTCTCTCTCCCTCCGCTGCTCTGTTCTCTCCTCCCACCCGCTCCCTCTCGCCTGCCTCGTCTTCTCCCCACGCTGACAGGCAGCCTGCTGAGAGACCGATCCTGCCTTTCTCCCGCTCTGAAAAACAGCTTTCTCCACATAATGGTCAGGGGGAAAATACATGTAGGAGATACCATTGCAGCAAATCGCTTCTTTCTCCTTTGTGCTCTGCCCCCGGCACTGCCCTACATTGTTCCCATAGCATATCAGGTTTTTTGATTGTGCCATTTCCATCAGCAGCATACTGTATGAAGACTCAGTCTTTCAAAGATTAGCTCCCGACTGAACACAACCATGAAATTAGGTTCTCTATTTTCTGTCTCCTGCCCCTCAGGAAAGACAGGGTAGAGGTATACTCGATTGGATAACCTCTCTAAGTGGAAAAGAATAATTTGCCATTTTCATTATGCCATTAACCATTGATGGTAGACTGAAAATCATGAACTACGATGTTTACGCATTCTGCAGAGTTACCCTCTTATGCCAGGTGCACCTAGACCACTGGTTCTCAACCTCTTCCTGCTTGTAAAATGAAGCATCACCATAGGATTGCACATTTTCTTTCAATTTGAAAATAATTGTGCAGTTAAGGTCAACCACAGTTTCACAAAACATCAAATGTCAAAGTGAGGTCTGCAAAAGAAAAGCAGCATACATATGTTTTTTTCCTAAGAACCCATTCCGTTCTCCATTGGTTCATTAGGAAATGTCGGTAACGGTTTGCAAACACAATATTCAAACCTTGCCCCTCCTCCTCAACTCAATTAAATCCCAGACTCATTCTCCTTTTATGGACAAGCTTTGTACGCTTGCCGTTTCTTCAGCACTCTGGCTGCCATTTTCAAACCTTTGTCTTGGAAACATGTTTACGCTGTGACACCTGATCAATATGTTTTTTAGAGGTTGATGCCAAGAATTGTTGCATACAGCATAATAATAAGGCTGTATTGGTTTCAGTGAATCCAGACCCACCACACACTTCTAGTTGAGCTTTACATTGGTTTTAAGGTACACTTAATGTGCCTTTGAATACATAGGAAGAAGATCAAACAGATTTCTGACACACAAATGGTGAGGTATTTGTACACGGCAGCAAGAAGCTGTTCATTTAATCATTTAATTTCAAACCTTTATTTAACCAGATTGGTCCCTTGAGGTCATATATCTCTTTTTCAAGGGAAACCTTAATTGACAGCTTAGGTCTAAAAAAGGTTTGGAACTACTGACTTAGTGACATATTTGGTAATGTTCAATGTCCACTGCTTTAGTTAGATCCTCTAAATATGTGTTTGCCGACTAAAAAGCTAATTTTCTTAACATATACCTTAATCTCTTTTACCACCTGTTTGTTCATATTTAACCTTCTATCCTGTGCACTTGCTGTCTCAGGGTTTCCTGGACATCGACCTGACTGACCTGAGGAAAGGCGGGGCGAACATCACGGGCTTCCAGCTGGTCAACAACTCCGAGCCCACCATCGGCCGTGTGGTCCAGCAGTGGCAGGAGTTTGACAACAAAGACTCCAAAATGCGCAAGAGTGGACTCAAAGTACTACTGCTCTCTTATCTGTCCTTGAGTTATCTACGTTTGTTTGTCTAAGAAGCTTTGTATGAGAAGTAGTAATGCAGCACAAGATGGCAGGTTGAAGGAAAAATAAATCATGATGGTCTTTTATTAAGAGCTGAATGATTAAGTTTTCTTGGTGAAGTTATGGTTACCTTGGACAATGACTTGTTATTTCCCCTATCAGTTAGTTTGTTTGTGACTCTCAGCAGTGTATTGCAAAAGCTGTGAAAGCGTTTCTATTACATTTGGTGGACAGATAATCCTGTCTGAGTAAGGCTGCTAAATGATTATTGATTTTCAACCATAACAACTGTCCAACCAGCTGAGATAGAGGATTGATTCCAACTGCCTGTGTGTGTTTTTTTTTTTTTTAAATAAAAAGACAGGAAAAAATAGCAATTAAGTCCTTTGGTGTAAAAGCATAGCTTGGGGAAACTCAATTTGTGAAATAATTTTCTTCAGCGAGTCTTTATAAATGCTTCCGTTTCATTCGCCTGCTCTCTCTTTGCAGTACACGGGCGCTCTAACATATGACGGCGTGAAAGTCATGTCCACGGCCTTCCAGAACCTGAGGAGACAGAGGATAGACATCTCTCGCCGGGGCAACGCTGGAGAGTGTCTTGCCAACCCACCAGCTCCCTGGGGACAGGGCATAGACATCCAGAGAGCCTTGCAGCAGGTCTGTGCGCATACATAGGAATGCAATAATGCGTGCACACACATGCACAGACATAAACTCACGCACACTTGTGCAAATTCCTGAGTGGCACATTGGCTAACGGCTCCTGAGTTGGGGCTGGCTGAACAAATGAGGTCTCATTCTGTCGTGTAAAGTTCACATTAAGTCATAGCAGATCTCTGTAGTATCAAATGTGACATCATGGCTAGTAAACAAAACCTGCAGGCAATAACACTCAGCCGTGATCATCATGGAATATGACACCAGAAATTGAGTTTAGAAATGTAATTTTTGGCGACGGAAATAGAAATGTTGGGCTGGCCTTGAGACTTTGTGTTGTCTCATTGAGACACTCATGCATGTCATTGTATGCATATCGAGGAACAAGGACCATTATTATTTTTAATATATTTTAAATAGCATTTTTTTAAAGCCTATGCAGGAATGAAGTTGCCAGTTAAAAACACAATGAAGTATGTTGTTTACGTACTCCAGAAGACCATTTACGTTAAGTATGGATGTACAATAAATGCATGTTTGTGAGGGCATATGTGTGCTGTGTGCGTGTGTGCAGCCCGAGGCTCAGTCTAGCAGAGTGGCTGCGCGGTGGCCTCCTCCGAGTCAATCTAGCCATCTGCCTGCGGACGGACTGGAGAGAGATTGAAGCCTTGTTCGCTCAATTAACTCACACAGCCAAGACAAACACACTGCACTGTAAACATACACGCACACCGTCTGTCATTCACTTCCCCTGGGAGTGGCAGCTGTAGACTTTCACAAATGAATACTATACAAACACAGGGGAGCTATGCTTAACATGCATCGCATGTAAGCGATACATGCAAAGTCTTTCTGCCTGCGTGGACAAGGAGAAAATGAATGGAGCGAATATCATGCTTCACGGTAGCCATTATTCACCCATCTGCTGGGAAAGCCTGTGTGTATAACTTATTCAATATGTGTGATTGTATTGCAGGTGCGTATAGATGGATTGACCGGTCACATTCAGTTCAATGAGAAAGGCCGCAGAACCAACTACACTGTTAGCGTCATGGAACTGGCCCCCTCTGGACCAAAGAAGGTAAGTCTGTAGCCAAAATGTCAATTAAGCATTATTATTGCTGCTCAAGGACTCTGTTAGAACCTGCAAGTGTATTAGTGGAATAACTCGGTGGTTCATTTAAGGTCCTTACAGAAGTATTCAATAGCCTTTTTCTGAAAGACAATTTATGAGTAAAAAGTTCTTTAGTGGCAGATATTTAGGCCTTTATTAGGAGACTTACTCCTATACACATTGAAGTGAAATTGTGCCTTTTTTGTACTAAAACAGTGCACGCAGTCACACTTAATTGTCCCTCCACAACTCCTTTACAGTCAAGATGGCGTCAAAGATAACAAAAAGCAGGGATTTTGTTCAATTCTATTGGTGTTACTCAAGAAGATCATTACATATAGGGTATGGAATTGATCTGCAGATGCTTCTGTTCAAAATGAGACCAGCGTTTTCTGTGGTTGTCAGTTTTTTAGTCATAACAAAGGCCAAAATGTAATGGTTGTTTTTAGCCTTTTTGCTGTGAATGCCTTTTTCTACTGTAGCAGTTGGTTAACACTTACAGTCCGTACCGGCTGGTTAAAAGCAGTGAGGAGTCAGCAGTAAATGACTGTATAGAAACAGACAGATAACACACATAACAGAACAGATGATCCCCCTAGGCTTAAGTCTGGCGGTGATAATGATCATATCATTAATCCTATTTATGCTTTAAGCTGAAAACAGAGACATGAATGTATGCTACTTCCCTTAAAATATATTTAGATACACTTTCATGTCTTAGAAGGTTTGTTCTAAGTGTGTCAAATATCTTAAGAAATTATACTAAAAGCTTTCATACATACGTTTTTGATTAGGAGCCATATTGAATAACTTTTATTTTCATCCTATTGGTCAATTTCTGACATTTTGACATCATCCTTTGTCTCAGGTTGGCTACTGGAATGAAGATGAGAAGTATGTGACTACCGCCAGCTTTGTGAGAGGCAGCAACGAAACGTACGGCCTGCAGAACAGGACTTACATAGTCACCACGATCCTGGTAAGCAAAATAGAGACTTTGAGGGATTATGGGGAGGATGGGGCTGGTAAAATGGCTCAGTCCCAGACGGAGAAAGGCATGGTAACATTTTTTATTTTCTTTAATGATAGAGTTCCTTAAGGTTCATGCCCCTGAGAGAATTGGACTGACATCTCTGATTGTATCTTCCTCCCTTCCTCCCCTTGCCAACTATTATCTCCTAACTTCTCTCTGTCTGACTTGTGCCTGCACAGAATCACAATTACATACATTTCCAAGTAACACAATAATCTTATCTTGAGGACACTGTCCTACAGACTTGCAGGGTTTGCCTGTACATATTTAAGATGTGTTTGAATGTACCATATCATGCTTATTTGGGTTTGTGTGCATTTACAGGCAAGGCAAGTTTATTTACATAGCACTTTTCAACACAAGGCAATTCAAAGTGCTTAACACAAATGAAAGACATAGCACACTAGAAACATTCAAAAGCAATGATAATAAAACATGATTTCTGGTTTGTTCCAGATATCTGACAGTATCCCTAACCAAATTCTCACATTCCTCTACCCCGAGTCTTCCTGTGAAATTATAGTTATTTTGACAGTTTTCTAACCTTTATTCCTTTCATCCATTTTGCATCCTCAGACAACACATGTTGTACTGTTACCCGAACCCATCTTTGACCTTTAAACCATTTTTCTTTTCAACTCCCAGAAATAGGATATTTACCTGTTTTAAGACTTCCCTCATGAATCTTTGGCCTTAACCACTTTTTAGAGGAACAACATCTGATTATGACATCTGAAAATGAGCATAATAGAGCCCCCTTTAAATGTGTTCAGTGTCAACTCAACATTGTGATTGTACTGTAGTTAAACAATACTAATTATCAACTAGGAACACTTATTTCTGAGGCTATGAAGTGTCAACATGCCCATCATTGTTTAGCCCCCCATGTTATTATGTTATTTTAATTGTATTTGGCTCAGCTTTCCCCATTGGCAGGTTATGTTTACTGTCCTCACCTACATTGCAGACATAGAGCCTCAGGGGTAGGATTTGAGAATAGAGCAGCAAACATTCAATCCGACCAGCTCCTATAGCAGCTAGGTGAACATGACATTTTCTCAAAAGATAGGAACATACCTGGCAATACCTTCCTCGTATGCAATAGGGGATAATACAGATTGTATGCAGGATGTTCTCAGAGCATATTGCTGTGTGTGAAGCCTGGAGCTCAGAGCTACGCTTTTTTTGTGCTCCCGGTATTTTTTCAAGTGGAAATGTCTTTTATCTCTTCGGATCATGTTATTTTGTGGGACTTGAGGCAGATGTGGAATGCATGAATGAAATGTGTAAAAAGAATTGGAATTCTGCAGCAGACTCCAGGTCTAGCAGGCGATGTGTGTGCGGCTTATCTCCACTGTGGGGGTTAATGGGCTAAACCATTTCAACTATGTGCTTCCCTTAAGAACAAATTCACAGCTCTCCGGATAAAGGTCTGTGGGAGGTGATGGAGCTGAAACGGCATGTAGAGTATTAATAAGGAGAGATGTGCATATCAACAATATATTGTGACAAAGAGAATCATCTGGCAACGCTGCGTTCATGTCATACCAAACACACTATTAATACAAGCACCCAAGTGGAACAAAATATATAACCCTCATTTTATTTCAGACGTAGGGGAAAAACAATGCACAAGTGTGAACGAATTGGAGCTAAAATGGCTGCAATAGTAATTAAGCACTATTCTTTTTTGAATTTGGGCTAATTAAAGATGAGCTACATAGTTTCCACTCGTTCGATAATACCTGATTCAACTAAATTATAAAAGTCTAAAAATGTGTTTAGGAAATGTACATACATACATCATTTGTATAATAATACTCGCAAGACAAACCATTTTGCCAGGATGAATACGTTCTTATGCAAATAGTACTTCAAAAGGCCACCTTTTAGAAAGGTTAAGTTATTCATAAATGATCATAAATAATCCACACATACTGTATCTACTAGCTATTGCATACAAAAATGGTTCGCTAACCAGGAGAGAGGTTAAAACAAATAATAATAAATAATTGAATTAAACGGTTCTAATAAAGACCAGTTTAACATGATTTTAAATACAGACTAACACCTGGGAAACAACAGCTGGTGTTGATGAAGGAGTACTCCAGGAATAAATATGTAAAGTGCAGATGTAGCATTGGGTGTACTTTGCTAAACTTGACATGTAGTCTTTTGGCATCTCATTAAAACAAATGTGAACATCCTCATTTACAACCCGAAGATTGCGGTCTTCATAAAGAACGGACCTAAAATAACTCTGACATAATCTCCTATCAGTGTCCCCTTCTCAAGGAAGATACATTGGTTCCCAGTCTTGGAAGCTATGAGAAGAGATAAGGTGTGAACAGTTATTTGGCAGCAGGGTAGCAGAAGAGTTTTTACACCGTATAACTTTTGTGCTCGTTGATTCGTTGCTTCAGGGACCGTGTTGTTGTGCCAATTCGAAGGTCTCACTTTGTGATTTCCCAGAATCCTTGCTGTTCCAGCCTGTGCACACAGTCCAGGCCGGTGTTACCAGGAGATCTGGAGGAGTGAAGCAGAGCATGCTTAATGGAGCACTGGAGCTTAGTGTCTCCACCATCATGGCTTTACACTAAAACCAGGCCATGGCTAAAATTTCAAGATTTAGTGTTAGCATGCAAGTAGTTGGTTATTATTGGCATAGGCCTACTCGCCGTGTGCAGATACTACAAATAAGTGCAGGTATTGTAAAATGCTTTCAGCAAGGAGTAGTAGCATTTATAATCAAATTACGTAATTTTCGCGTTCTCCTACTATATGTTGTGTTTAAAATGGGTCTCAGAGGAATAATGTAGGTTTACATTTTTCCAACGGCAAAAAATTATAATTTGTTGGCCTGTTTAGCTATCTGCATGATCACGGAAAAGCTACAAGCACAATATTCATGAATCTTGGCGGCATGGTGTTGCATGGGCCAGTGAAGGACCCATTACGTTGATGTGTATCCAATCAACGGGACAGATATGTGCATCATGTTTCACTTTCGTTATTATTTGGAAACAGGATTTGTGCTGCGTTTATGTGGTGACGAAATAATTGGAAAAGGTTATCCTGAATATGAATATTCACCTGGACATCCCAATATCAGAAAAACAACTTTAAACAGACATCCAACATTTGGTAAGCCTCTCTAACCAATAAAATAATACTTCATGAATTTGTAACGTCAAAGTTGTTGCCGCATTACCATTTAAAGCTCATAAAATCGAAATAACAACCTTCCAAATCGGGAAATTGGACCATCCGAGATGTAGGTGAATGCTTTGGCAGTGGTCTGATTTTTTATAATTTTGTGTCTATTTAGATTTTGTAATGTGTGTCTGAAAAGTGTTCTTGTGTCTGTTTTATATCCACCATGGTTGAGTAACAGCAGATCTCAGCGGTACTGTGCGGACCAATGAGAATGAGTCCTGGAGGACCTTCTATGCCATGTCACGCATCTATGTGTGTGTGTGTTTAAGCGTGTGTTTTTGAGAGCGTTTCTGCCAGTGCAAGTGCATACCCTGTCAAAAGCGCTGCACACCAGCCTTTCCCAACACCGTCTCCCTGGGGTGCCATTTCCCTGCCAATGGGCCTCAGGTTTCCATGTGTAACAATGATTACCTTCCCCTCAACCATAAAGAGCAGGAGAACCCAGATAACTGTAACACACAGAGGACCCCCGACCCACCCCCACATCTCTAGACTCTGATAAAATCTGACGGCAGGATTTGCTCGGCTCAGCACAGCCTTAGCTAAGAGCAGGCACACATAATAACTTGTTGGAATTGAGGCCTATCAGAGTGCTTGTGGATTGAGTTGACTGGTATTCTATATGAAATAGATTTTTCTTAAAATAAAGCGGGGCCCCAGGTGTTATGTCGGCGGGAAGACACCCAATCAGTGTGAGATGTACAGATGAAGGATGTGACAGGAAGAACAGCCTGGTAGAGGTCAAAAATGTCTTCTTCACCATATACATTGCTCAAACATGTGTCACACACGCACACACACACACACATGCACACACACGCACACACACACACACACACACACACACACACACACACACACACACACACACACACACACACACACACACACACACACACACACACACACACACACACACACACACACACACACACTTCTTGTTCTCAGATGCTTTGTCTTTTCAGCTTTAATAACACCCTACAATTCCCCGTATCCTCACAACCTGCTTCATATTATCAACCCTCCTTTCAAAGAGGCAATGACGCCGTAATCATACTTACCACCTTTTGTATTTCAATTATACACCATACCTTTATGAACAAAGACACAAATAATACCTTGTGATTCCATGTAATTATCTTTGAACCTTTCACAGAGAGATTTATTATCCAAAGCCTCCGTTATGAGCAAGGGGTAAAGAGATAAGTGATGCATTGAATTCATCCATAAACCTTCCTACATTTTTAAATATTCATATAAAACTTAACTACACGCTGAAGCTTTATTATCAGCCGTAAAACTGTCTCTGTTTTAATTAGCTTAACAAACTGCCCTGCTGTAAAAGTTATGATACAGGCTTATGTCAAGAAATGATGCATATCAGTGTTCATTTTGTTTTAACATCAGTGAAAATTGCAATTATTTCAGTAACCGTTCATTGATTTCATGTATGTTATTTCTGACACCTGGTGTAATTGAGTTACAGTTCATGATTGCACGGTTGCCCTTTCATCCAACAGGAGTCTCCATATGTGATGATGAAGAAGAACCATGAGCAGCTTGTGGGGAATGACAAATATGAGGGCTACATTGTGGAGCTGGCTGCAGAGATAGCCAAACATGTCGGATACCAGTACAAACTGAAGGTGGTTTCAGATGGCAAATATGGAGCAAGAGACCCAGAGAATAAGATGTGGAACGGCATGGTGGGAGAACTGGTGTATGGGGTGAGTGGACTGTTTTGTGTTGGATATTATTCCCAGTTTAAAGGTGAACAAAATATATAAACTACTAAAAGTCAAATGTGAATGCTGTTTAGCCAATCAATTAACGTGCAGCTCAATTCTAACTTTATTTGAGCAGTCTGCCTTGATCGTTTTGCATTTAAACCTTGTTCCTCACTCGGGACATTTGACATGTTCCTGTCAATTTGGCTGTGTTAATGCACTTGTCGTACATTCTGGCAAGGGTATGAGTTTAGGAAAGTTTTAACTCTTATAAAAAGTGAACAATTATCTATGAAGGCCGCCAGACACTCCCTTAAGGACCAACATGTTTCCATTTAAAACCAGTAAAACCACAGTTACATTTATTTATTTATGATCCTACAGCCATTACAGCATAAACTCATGCTTTCTATTACATCAAACGTTTAATACATTTTTTTATAAAAATTGAACATTTTTATACCAGATTAAACCATGTTGTTATCTTCCCTATTACGTGCCATTTACTGTAAAGGTTTACTTTCACATAAAAAAAGCTTTTAAATATATGTTGTTGGTAATCTTTCACATATCCCAGACTGTGACTACGCCCCAGCATTTACTATGAAAATAACGTTATGTTTGTGTTGCTTTTCCTTAAATATAAAACAGCAACTAAAAAAGTTAAGAGTTAAAAATAACAGATATCTGATACTGAAGATCAGGTTTGAATTTGCTTAGTAGACTTGACAAAGGACAGAGGAAAACAATATTAAAAAAAGACATTGTGGCAGGTCTTTGACATTGGCAAAACACTGCTAATTAGCACAAACACACAATGTAGATGATACCCCCTGATTAAATGACATTGGTGACATTTGTAGAGCATAGCTTGTAGAGATGCTTAAACATTTATCATCGTGGATTTACTACAGTATTTGACGTGGGTCTTCTGATAAAGAAACTATTGTGCTTTTCCCATTAACAAACACTTATTTTAGAACACGAAATGACATATTCTTGCCACTGTGCACGTCTGGTCACATGCCTTTCTCTTTTTGTCTCCCTCAGAAAGCAGATGTGGCCGTGGCCCCTCTGACCATCACCCTGGTGCGTGAAGAAGTGATCGACTTCTCCAAGCCCTTCATGTCCCTTGGCATCTCCATCATGATCAAGAAACCCACCAAATCCAAACCTGGCGTGTTTTCCTTCCTGGACCCGCTGGCTTACGAGATCTGGATGTGCATTGTGTTTGCCTACATCGGCGTGAGCGTGGTTCTGTTCCTTGTCAGTCGGTTCAGCCCATACGAGTGGCACGCTGAGGACTATGAGGAGGGCGCTGAGCCGCAGTCGCCCACCCAAGCTTCAGCTAACGGGGTGCAGCAGGGCCAGGCCCCCCCGCAACAGAACAACAACCAGCAGAGTCTAGAGCAGACCAATGAGTTTGGCATTTTCAACTCCCTTTGGTTCTCACTGGGGGCTTTCATGCAGCAGGGCTGCGATATCTCACCACGGTAAGGCCTACATTTTTTTAGTGTTTTGAGTCCACTGTGCTTTGAGTCTCTACTTTTGTTTGTTGTTACAAAAAGAGACACTAAGTGCCTCCTACGTACAAAATATTTCGGTCTTCCACAACGACTCTCCAACAGGCAGTGTGGCTTTGTAGTTCAACTCTTTTGGGCTTTGTTTATTGAGATATGTTGTGCTTTGTCACTTGTCATACAAAGCAAAGATAAAAGTTTGGTGAAGAGCAGCAGAGGGAGTTTAAGCTGTGGTCATGTTGCAGAGTCTTGTGTTTCACAGAAACCTTCTGTGGTGGTATACTGTACACATGGCAGAAACTTCTTGGACTATACATTCTTGTGGAGCTCCTTCCAATGATATAACATTTTTAATTGTATCGTATATATCGTGTATTTTATTGTGTGTTGGTCAAACCATAGGCAAAAGTAAATATTGGACCCTTCAGAGATTGTTAAGCAGGATCCTGGCGTGAGTGGTATGTGTTGGCTTCCCCTCGAGGGCTCTCATGAGCTTTGGTGTGAAACCATTCTGAAAAGGTCACCAATTAAAAATCTCATTAAGTGTCTGAAATTAGAGACACTGAGGTCGACTTTCTGAGCTTTCCAGAGGGACCAGCAGGAGGAGATGAGAAGATAACGTCAGTATTATCACCGATAGCTGTGAACCAGCAGAGACAGGGTAGGTCATGGATTGACACAGAGCTCCGTGTCTCTTTAAACATTAAAATACATACATTATGTATACATGTAGTGTGGTGCTGCCTGCACCTATACATAATACATCTATACTGCAGCTTCTGGATGGAGAGGTCGATGCTGTTGCTTCAAATAAATATTCGTGGTTGATGCTATTCTTTCTCAGACTTTGAGGTATCCACCTCAAGGACTACGCCTTCAACCCACACAATGGAGGTGAATGCCATATGGTTTGTTGTTGACTGAAAATCTTTTTTTATAAAGATGTATAAGCTAATGTTTCCAGAAACAATGCCCGACTGAGAACAACTTTTTCACAAGGTTCATAACTATTATAGAGGAATAGTCATTATAAAAATGGTAAAAAGTCATTACAATGGAAACTGCTAACAGTAAAATTCGACACATATCCTAATTGTTTTTGACATCACTGCTGTTGAATTTAATTTTTTATTCAATGTAACGAGCACCACAAATGACATGTATAATAATAATAATCCTTATAGCGCTTTATCAATGACTCAAAGCGCTTTACAAATACACATTACATACATACATACATGTAATGGTCATCTACTGTGGACAATACCCACAGGAGCAAGTTCAGGTGAAGTGTCTTGCCCAAGGACACAATGGCCTGAAGCAGTGGGGCGGGAGCGGGTTTCGAACTGGAGTTCCCCAACACCCCCTTGATCTGATGATCAAACGCACAGACCACTGTGCCACCCGTCCCTAATTGTATTTCACCACCATTGTATGAGGGAATATCTCAAAGCTGTTATCTTGAAGCTTTAGCAAATAAAAACAAAACGATCTGCATGGCTAGATACAATTCCAGGTAGTTAAGAAAACATTGCTTGTCTTTATTTTGAGGAGTGTTACTAAGAAACAGCAGCATTGCTCAGTAAGCCTTCCATGATTGTGTGGCTGAAGGTTAAAGGAATTACAGCATGTGTAACGGTCCATTTTTATCTTGGCTCCCATCTTGTGACATTTACAAAATGTATTTTCACTTTGCTCTTACCTTGCATTAATATCAGAAGGGAGAAATCTCTGCACCTTGCATGCTGCAGGTGCTCAGCTGTACATGATGTAGATACTGAATCCTTCCTCCCACGGGCCCCTCACCTGACATTTACCATGTTCTGCCTGGAGCCTCGGCTGCGCCTCTTGCAGGATGAAGCCTATTGTCCGAGCATTCTTCTCTTACAGCCAGAAAATGCATCTTCAATAACTATTGATTTCCTCGTACGCCTCACAGAGAAAGAGAATGTCACCACGCATCCGCAAATTGTCCGTTCCCTGTGGTCTGTCTTTGTGTACGCAGACACGTTTATTTCTGTGTGTTTGTGTGCATTGGTGTGTATGTCTCTGTGTGTGTGCATTGGTGTGTATGTCTCTGTGTGTGTGCTTGACCCACACATGGGTTCAAACATATTTGCACAGTATTTGCATTTGTGTTGCTTTGGGAGATAGCGAGCTTTGCTGATGCAAGACGTTTCAAAGACTGTTTAAAAAAAGGACCAAACCGCTGTAGTAAGTAACAGATTGTTTCTTCACTTGGAGCCATTTTTGCTGATGACACCTCTGAATGCAAATTAACCAGATGTAAAATATGTGTATTTCATCACAAGTTGTGAAAACTGAAACAAGGCCGTTGGCCTCAAGTTTCATTTGAGTATTCAAAGATGCAAGGATTATGACATCATGCAACACAGGGTAGCACAACAAGAGGCAGTTATAACTTAGACTTTTATAATACATAAGAGAAAACAGGTCATAACAAAACAGTAGTGCATTTGCATCAGAAGGTATGTAAAAGCAGCAACAAAACAATGGTGTATCCTCTTGGGAGAAAGCCTACATCCATAATATACCAAATCGGACATCAGGGAAATATTGTCTATCAACTTTGAGCACCAAGCATCATTAATGTAGACATAGAGCCTGCCCTTCTGGAGTCCTGCGTTCTTTCCTGCAGTTCTCCCGTCAGTTGCATGATGCTGGATGCCTCTAAGGAGCATGGTCTCTGAAAATATCTGGCCACACCGCAGCATGCTCTGATCTCCCGTTGCTGGGCTAGCCTGAGTCTAACTTCATTTTTGTTATTTTCCTGCAACATCGGCCAGGATCAGGCTGGCTATAGTCGAGTAGCCTTGGGTGCTAGATGTGTTAGCTTAGCTGCCATTTTGGCCCTACTCCTGGGGACGTCTTCCTGTGTTTAACGGTGTATCGCTCGCTGGCTTGTGGTTAGATAGATGCCATGGGTTCAAATGTCTCAAGGTCCACTGCTCTATAGCCACGTTTCTTTTACCGACATTGATGAGTATCTTTGACACATGCCACAAATGTTCCAGCAAAAAAAATGTTCTCATTTAAATAGATTTCAGGTACAAGAGAAGATTTCCTTGGTGTGATCAGTGAGGGTGAGAGCTTTAGGGCTTGTATCCTCCAAGGACTTGAGTCAAATGTCTTTCTTACAATGTCCTTCCAAGGTGACCCACTGTCTTGTTTCAGAAAAAACTGTAAGCAGCATTTAAAAATAAAAAAGAACACAAGTTCTTTAGTATGCAGCATTCCATGCTGTAGTAATCAGCATAGTGGAGTCTGATGGTATCTTAAAAACCAACACAGTGAATGTTTCACCCCGCTGAATACTGCCCTGAAGGAAACATCTTCTCCTTGAATATTTGGGTGACCTACTTGCTCTAGTTAGCACAGCCCGTTCTCACACACGGAGGAGCGTGTGGAAGGATCTCCTGAAGCATTATGAGCTCCTGCTAAATTTAAAAGGACATGTTATGTTACTGCTAGTGTTTTGTCAGATAGAAGTAATAATACTTGTAACCTCACACATTCTGTTTCACATGAACACTGTGTACCAATGCATTTGGTCCATTGGGAATTGAGATAATTATTCTTTCATACTGCAAGGCTTTTATGGGAATATTTTTGTTCCTGTATGCTTGGGAGAGTGTGCATTTTTCTTTAGATTTGTTTGCCTAAAGCTCATTTTCAACATGCATTTAAGCACTTTCTTTTAATCCATTTCCAAGTATGTAATTAGCCTCATATAATTATAGTATCAAGTTTGGTGTGTTTTTGTAGAACTTAGTTCTATTTATTTTGTCTTACATTCATTCTTAATTAACTTATGTTCAGAAATGTTTAGCAACAACATGAGATTAATGTTGTGTCATTTTTGCAGTGACAAAAGAATCGGAGAACATCTTAGAAGTATTTAGAATATTAAGTGAAACCAATGCCACTTGCCATTAAAGGGACCCTATTTAGCTTTTGGGGGTTTTCCCATACCTGTAGTGTTATAGAGTTGTTCATGCATGTAAATGCAAAGGCTTAAATTATTTGATTATTTCTTTAACATAGTGACATCACTCACACTTACGCTTCTATTGGATAGTGCTTCAACACATTGTACGTGATAGGCTTAGAGTTGATACATCTCTAAGCAGTTGACCAATTACAACAGAGCAGGCCAGCTAATCAATCAGAGCAGACTGGGCTCTGGTTTCAGACAGAGGGTGAAAAGAGGAGCTGCAGCACAGGCAGTATGAGAAAAATAAAGACCTTTCTAAAATCGAGGATATCTCATTTCATATTTTCTTTTTGTATTGAAACCTTTGAGGCGTCATACTTTGAGCCACTTATATGCATTACTGTCTGATTATTATAAAAGAACAAAACATATAAAAAAACATTCTGTCTCTGATTTTTCTGACATTTCTGAGCAATGTGCTTGTAAACCTCTCATCACTGTGCCTTTGTCACTAATGGGCGAGAACAGAATGTTCTGGAGGTGCATTCAGCCTGGAGGTAGACAGCTCAAAGCACCTCAATCTTTATGCTATCCATTTAATCAGAGACAAAAGGCCAAGGAACAACGCTGACGATCCACTCTGTCCTGGATTAATCAGTAGGCGTGTTTAATTTCCCTGTCTGCCTATGGCTCTGTGTGTGTGTGTGTGTGTGTGTGTGTGTGTGTGTGTGTGTGTGTGTGTGTGTGTGTGTGTGTGTGTGTGTGTGTGTGTGTGTGTGTGTGTGTGTGTGTGTGTGTGTGTGTGTAGGCCGGTTCTATTAAAAGCAAGCCCTTATTGCAATCCTCTTTGTCTGCTGCCAATCTGATTGGACCCGTCTGAAGGTATCTCAAGGTGTCTCTGTGTGAGTGCGTGCATGTGCTTTTGTAGTGTGTGTTTACATGCTCGTAGGCATGCATTCATACATCGATGTGATGTATTAATGTGTACAGTACTTAAGTGTGTGTGTGTATTAGCCCCCCTG